AAATAACCAACATTGCAATTTCTGTTCTTTTATATTTTTACACCTCCGGCCGTAGTATCTGTCTTTAGATCAGTTTTATCGGCTGTCACTTTAAAATGACGCCTTGATGAATATTTCTTTTTACTGTCGTCGGGAATACATGATACATGTTCTGACTTCGACCGAGTTATGGTTCTGCTCAGAGTCTTTTATCAGAATTGCCCACTATAGCTACAGATTTTGCTTAGGTACAATATTAAACCGACGAGTCTTAAAATTAAACTAGTCGGGACGCTACCGGGTATGGGAAAAGGCAGATTAGTTAGGAGGCCCACGGAGAACTTTGTCAATAAGTAACTGATAAAGTTTTGCAAAATCAGCAAACTCCTTCAACCCAAGCGACACGAGTATAAAACATGATGAGCTAGTATAACGGTAGTAATTTTTAGTGCCAAGCAGCTCATTTCCTCCCGTTAATGGCGCTCAGCCCTCTTTTCCGTGTTGGCCTTCCTTTTGTCATCGCCTATCTTATTGCCAAGTACTAGTAACTATCAAATGTAAGCCTGAGTTTTCTCACTTTTTTCTCTTCCTTATAAGATGGGCTAATTATTCCACGGAAACCGCTTCAAATTCCCAACAAATTACAACAAGGCCAAAGATTGCGCCCGTTATAATTAAAGAATGGACTGAAATCTAACGCAAGTCCGAAAGTCTCTGTCAGCTTTGTTTTATTGAATGCATGGTGAGGTTTTCACAATTATTAAATGCCCTTAGAAATATCGCCAATACGAAAAAGTGCTGACTAATTATTCCGATTGTATGAAGGCAATATTGATGGCAATATCGAGCAGTATCAGTCTTAATGAAGTTCAGCAATCTTTTTCTTCCCCACAGAATTCTACTCCTGCTTTCGAAAATGCGCTTGCTTGGGATATTGGTGTTGGCCGTATGTTTTTTGGTTCTTGTCAGTGCTAAGATTGACACAGATGTGACGTTTGATGATTTATTAAAAGAAGAATCGAACATAAACGACAAAACTGATAGCGCTGACGTAGAGGGCCCGAAGAAAGCAGACGACCCAAGAAAAAGTGTCCGCCGATTTTTTTCTCGTTATCCTCGTCCAGTAAGCCTTCCCATCGCCATTCCAAGCTATGCCAACAGCCTCTTCTTTAGAGCTTCCTATTGTTTCACTCGTCGTTGTTTTGGTGAGTAGTTGAAAGTAGTTTTACCGTTGTTCTACTTAAGTCAGAGAGTTCCGGGTTGACATGAGTATGCGGCATGCGAATATATTGATTGAGAGTCTTAATCTTCACTGAAATTCAAATGGAGAGAGACAATTTGTGAAAAGTAATGGAAAGAAATACAGTCTTAAGATACAAAACAAAAGATAAACCCAAGAGCCATGATCCGCGATCAATGGAAATAAATTGGCAACTTACTCATGCCAGAAAGTTATATGGGATGCAACTTAAACAATTTTGGACCGAAAAACTGGCATAAGAAAATTCGCTGGAAGCCAGATTTAGAGTGTGACACAAGAGAGACCTTTTAGATTCGAGGACGATAACGACTACGAGTACGAGATTTGATTTGAAGTTTTTGGCGTATTCTCAAAATATAGACTCCCCGCAAAGCTTCATTTTACCATTTTTCACTAGAAAAGTTAGCATTGTTATCTTTAGTGAAGGAAGTTACTCGCTCTCAGCTCCCGATCGATATCTTGTTTTCACCATTACGACATTCGCGCGAAAACTCGATGTAGAATAACGACGGCAACTACGTTTTCCCGCCAAAGTGACGCTGGTTCACGCGCGCGTACTACATAGTACTGAGAAAATCTCGTACTTGTAGTCGTACTCGTCATACAATCTAAAGGTCTCTAATAAAGGGCAAAAGACAAAGAGTTTATTTGCCACTTAACAAAGGAGACGGAAACTGGGACGAGTTGTTTTTTTCACAGACGTCTAAGACGTCTGGGACTTTCTGGGGGCAGGGGAAAAAATTGTCAGTCCGTGAAACGTCCCGAGTAGCGATCCCTGAAACAATTGCAGCAGGCTGCATTTCGGCTCCAGTTCCCCTCTCGATTCTAAAGTGGTGAATGGGCGGCTCCTGGTGCTTTTCTGATAAGTGATTGTATGAACTATGCTGAACTATTTCCATTGAAACATCACGTTTTTCCCTCAGTATCAAGGCCACCATAAAATCGCACTGCTAAGAGTTGATTAAAACCGTAAAATTGGCATGGCCACTATATTTCATACTCTTTCTGACCCTGGTATGTTTAGAGTTGTATCCCACAATTTTGCCTTAGAAAGGTCACGTGATCTCCTGAGTTAAAATAACCCATTTTAAAGGCCTAAAAAATTAATGTTACTTGAGAGACATTTAAGTTACTTGAGAGACATCTAACAATGAACAACTGTGCAAAAAAATGTTGAAGGAGTCTAACAATTCAGTTTCAGGAGAATTTTTTGAGTATGTGTATTTGTGTTTTTTCAGTTCCAGGTATGACTCCAGGATTCAAAGGATGGACTAGATTCCAAAAGTCGGGTTATATTGTAATTGGAAACTGGCTTTACTTTTTCTACTATTGCAACCCAAGACCCAAGCCTTTTCCAACAAGACCCGGGCCTACAAGCAGACCTCGTTTCACTACGCCTCGTTTCACGAAACCTCGTTTCTCTACTCCCTTTTTCACCCAACCCCCTTTTACAACACCTCGCTTCACACGACCCCTCTTCACCACACGCCGCTTCACCTTCCCTCCATTCACCACACGCCGCTTCACCTTCCCCCCATTCACCACACGCCGGTTCACCTTCCCTCCATTCACCACACGCCGCTTCACCTTCCCTCCATTCACCACACGCCGGTTCACCTTCCCTCCATTCACCACACCCCGCTTCACCTTCCCTCCATTCACTACACGCCGCTTCACCTTCCCTCCATTCACCACACCCCGCTTCACCTTCCCTCCATTCACCACACCCCGCTCCGCCTTCCCTCCATTCACCACACCACGCTTCACCTTCCCTCCATTCACCACACCCCGCTCCGCCTTCCCTCCATTCACCACACCACGCTTCACCTTCCCTCCATTCACCACACCCCGATCTACCTTTCCTCCATTCACCAAGCCCCGTTCCACCAGTCCTCCTTTAACCTCATCCCTTTTTACCAAACTCTTTTTCAAAGTTACCTCGCCGCGCCCCACTCAATCCCCCTTCACTAAAACTCCCCTTTTTGGCTAAACGAATTTAAAAAGCGCTGATGAAGGCACTGATCCTTCCCCCCCGTTCTATCTTGAGAATTGTAACGGAGGCATAACACCTCTCCACCATTTTAGTGCTGTTAGAACTACTATTAAAGGATACGGAACGATAAACAGTAAGACAGGCCAAGCTGTTTAATCTTTGAATTGCAATAAAGCAAAAACACATGGACAATGTGTTCGATGTGTTTACAGTTTGAATTTTAAAAGGAAGCGAAAGGGGAAGGGTAATCAATTTTGTAGTATGCGAACAGGCTCCCAAGAGAAGCGGGCAAAAAAGGATATCAGCGAGCAAAGCGAGCTGAGAGTCCACTCGGGAGCCTGCTCGCAGGCTAATCAATTCCTTGTAATCTGTTTGATGTGCAATAAAAATAAGTTGTTGTTGTTTTAATGAATACCCCCGGTATAATTTTGAGTAAGATGTTTTTTCAGTCAGTGACACAGGTTTTCCGAAGGAAAAAATCCGAGTACAGGCCCAAAAGGTGTCGGACCTATGGCCCATTGGCCCCAGTTCCTAAACGGCCGATTAACGCTAATCCAGGATTAAAAATTTTGTTCCATTTTTGTACTTATCTTCCTATGCATTTCTTAGAGTAACATTCTTTGTTATCATCATTGAGTCTCGGCGTAAAGAGAAAACAGTATTTTCTAAGCTCTAGTGACATATTCTTCGTCAAGTAAATCTTGCTTAAACTTTGGCTTCATACTGGGTTAAACTGGCCATCTTTCGAGGAACAGTACCCTGGTTACTAGTTCAGATGCTGGCTACCCCTAAGCTACAGGAGACTTAAGGGAGCTAAGGACACTAAACTAGGTTCATATGACAAATATCCTACATTCTGCTAGGACTGGAATGTCTATATGTGCTTATAGGCAACGACGAGATGAGATGGTGAATTTTGAAAGCAATACCAGCACACGTACCAATTCGGCAGTTTTAACTCGTTTGTTTGATTCGGTGGTATGGTCATAGTCTGCTCTCGCGAGCCTCGTTCTTTCCTGTGCCGTTACTTCCAAGTGCCTGCTACGCAGGCTAGTATGGCCAGTACCTTACCCATGCGCTCAACCATATACCCTCGATAGTGGAAACATGGGTTCGCCCGTTCATAGACCCGACGGCTATGCCAAACTGATGAGCCCTAATAAGGGTGAAAACAGCTGACCATGACTGCCACTGGAGGGGTGATATGGTTCTGCGCATGCGTAAGCCGTACCGCGGGAGCTGGTACGTGTGTTTCAGTGCTATGAATTTTGAGCCTGCTGTATACATGACGCCGTCATGGCTAATCCCGCACTCTCCGATGCCCTTCTTCACTTTAGAAGCACAAAAATTTTAACTGAAGTAAATCCCTTTGCAACACTCTTAATTAAAATTGTAACACTGACTCAAATTCACCAGAGATCGAGAGGCCAGGGAGGAATAGCCTTCGAGCAAGCTCTCCGGGACGCTCTGGCGTCGGGGCGGGAAAATGATCAATGAGTACAATTACCACGCAGACGAAACGATTCCATCATGTTAAGCTAATCATTCACTATATTAAACGTCTCTTCGAAAATAAGAAAGGTATTATTAAAATTCTAGTTTATAGTTCTGTTATTGATATTAATCAGATGGATGCGATATTTCCTTGGATGCCTAGAAAACCAAAGTTAAATTTTCTTACCCATGGTGCTCCGCTAAGTGCGCTTCGCGCGCGAGTGAGCTTCGCTTTACACTCTGCTGTTGATTACATGAGGTCCCCTATTGTCATACAGCAGCATCCTTTGCAAATGGCGGAAAGTTGCACAGGAACATCGATCAAGCACAATGGTAATTTGCTCGCAATGGCTTTAATATTAGAGAAGGCAGAAGATTTATAGGCTTTTTATGTACCTTAACTTTTGTTTTCTTCTTTTTATAAGTCTCGAGGAGCATTAAGTTTTCGGCAGTTGAGCCAAAGGTAAGTGATTATTTGCTAGCTTCACGAGCGGTTCGCCGGTTTTTAGGTGTATGACAGCAACTGAATTAGCCACATTTAGGTCCTGTTGCTCGAACACGAAACCAAATTCTGTCATCTTAATTCGCACCTGCACTTGCACAGGTCTTCAAATTAAACCAAGCACTAACTTCATGCTACAGCTTAGCCATAACAAAGCAGTGTAAAGACCACAGGTTACCCAGACTCACATCAGCCTGCTGGAAGCCAAATTATAACGATTTGTATGGGAGTTTATCGTAAGATTGATGAAACGGTTGAAATGTGCATATACAGCTATTAAAGTATACATATAAATACCTCAAAGAGAGTTGTGTCTGTGTTGTTTTCTTACTGTTGCCTGCACTATAAATGTCATTGTAGCTAGTTTTAATGTTTTGGTTTCTCACCTACTAATTAGAAGACAAGGAAAAACTCGGCTCTCCTATGGCTGCCCGAAGAAAAAGCTACGAAAAGTACCATTTGTCTACTCCAATTGCTCCAAAACTTCACTTGAGTATGGACAGAAGATTTTCCTTTCTTGAAAATTTCAATTTAGTTTCAAACATCGAGCCATTGCCTCAGGAGGACAAGAAATGAAGCTAAAAAGTTTGAATTTAGTGCTTCCATGGAACTGCTTTTTTTCATAGTGAACTACTAATGGTCATTGCTCTTGGCTTAGTAGCCATGCTGCATGTTCTTAATCCCCTCAGCAGGAATGGAAGCACTAACTTCAACTTTTTTCCCCTACATTTCTTGTCGTCTTGAGGCCGTCGCTTGATGTTTAAAACTAAATTGACATTTCCAAGGAAGGAAATTCTTCGGTCTATGCTCAAGCAAAGATTTGGAGCGATTGGAGTTGAAGAGGGTAATTTTTGTAGCTTTTTCTTTGGGCAGCTTAGGACGGCTTAGTTTTCCCTTCAGGGCTGTACTCTAAGGAAAATTGACAGGAGCCCAGTGCTCTGGACCTGTAAAATCTAGGGTGCCCAGCATATCATTTGAATGAAAAAACTAAGATTTCCTAGTTGCCCGAGAGCCAAAGTTAGTCGCCAGGGGTCACCAGGCTCTGCTAGAGCACAGCCCTGCCTTTGTCTTCTTCGTATACATGTAGGTCACAAAAAACCAAAACATTAAAACTTGCTGAAATAGCATTTATAGGGTAGGAAATAGTAAAAAACAAACAAAACAACACAGACGCAACTTCAGCCTTTAAGGTATGTATACTTTAATAGCTGTTTATGTACATTTTAACCATTTTATCAATCTTACCGTAAATTCCAATGCAACTTCTTATAATTTGTCTTCCAGTAGGCTGTTTTTAGTCTGGGACCCCTGTATAAAAACATACATTGGTTAAGCGATGGTCATCTCTTGTAGCTGCCTCCAAACTCGGTAGGGAACTTGTTTTTAGTTGTTTTTCTACACGCCATGTTCACCAAAATAGTCTTCGCTTGGAGCATTGCTTAACAACAGATTAAAACAATGTATTATAAAGTTACCGTTTATCATTTAATTATTTTAAATTAAATTAATTGTACTCGCTTTCTAAGGAATTGGAAATGGAAATCCTGGTTTGTGATTGGCTAATGTTTCATTTTTAGAGAAGAGGTCCTTGATTGGGAGGATGAAGAAGATAGAAAACCACGTTACAATCCTTTCAGTGATGAAGGAAACTTTGATTTCATTGACCCTGGTTTCTCTTGGGTGAGCAAAGAAGAGGTTGCAGACTTCATGAAGCAGTCTCGTGGTCTTTCACTCAGTGATGCTGGTGCTGATGATGATGATGCTGAGCTTGGTGAGGCTTGGGGAGGGACACAGTTTAGTATCACTACAGGTGAGTGTTCCGCAGTTGTATTCGGTAGTTTCAGTCCTGAATCACAGAATATTCTTCCCAGTCACAGGTAAGGGTATGCCACTTGAGTTAAGACTGATGACGGTCTAGTGGTTGTTTGATCACAGATCTCGAGGTTGTTGCTCTAGCTTTAGGTGCACTGTTTCTGACTTATAAGCAGGGATGTTACTAAGTTTTCAAGTTGTCAGGCATATGCAATCACAGACTGGGGATTTAATTGGCAGTTAGGTCATTTGATTCTACTTTGCTTTAGCTTCCTACATTTTGTAAGAAAGTAGTTTAGGGTCATGCTTATCCAGGAGATTTACATGTATATTTATTTATCTCTTCGCTTATTAACTGGATTTTACTCAAATTGGTTACCTGTCTATGACATGATGTTATTTATTGATAATGCATAAATTCTGTTCACACATTCAATTTGCTTTCTCTTATATATTGTGAAAAAAATTAATGTAATGTGCACTTACAATGTAGGGAAGCCTCGCTCAGACTCAGGTGCCCAGTCGGCGCGAACGCGGCCTCAACCTTCATCTGCTTCCTCCAGTGTGAATGCAAATAAACTGAACACAGCCGTTGGAAGTATGTTCAAAATTTTTAATAATTTACCACAGTTGTAATGTTAGTGAAGACTAGTCCTCTGTGCTAGCACTTACAAAATTGTAGATGTACATTTACGATGTATTTATGAGTGGCATTTTGTGGTCGGGCAAGGGTTTGGATCCCTGTCCTCCTGCTTGGCAGACTGGCCCTCTTCCAACTTAGTTAACCAGGTGGTGATTAGCTCAACTACTTGAAACAGTTAAGGGTAATGTGCAGAGGTGACACAATTGATCCTTTTTGTTTCCTTGCTTTAATCTAGTTTTTTACAAACTCCAAGTAATAATACTTGCACTACATTTGTAGCATCTACAGGATAACAGTTTCATCTGCAATCAAGCCCAATTAATAACTATTATTGTTACATGTACCAATAATAGCGGAGCTCTTACACACAAAGCGCGCGCAGCGGAGCACCATGGGTAAGACAAAATGAGAAACGCTAGCGGCCACTAATGCAAGGAGAAAATGAGGGGCAGTGAAAAAAAAAAAAGTGACTGAGATCACTTACGACATTTCATTCCTCCATAAAAACATTTCTGGAAGTTTCACATTGTAGTTGTGCAAAACAACGGCAAAGAAATGTACAAGAAAAGTGTGCTGCACGTGCAAAGTTGCTTTTTTGCTAATTAGACCTGTTGCTGTCTTTTCACCATTCTCTGGCATTGCATTCGCCGCTTAGCATTACACGATTTTATATTTTGTTTGAACAAACTATAAATATTATTGAGAGCTTCGCTTTTAGCCCTGGCTAAATCTATATATTATTACTTCTCTTAAGCATTTTAATCCTAAGCACTTCTATGGCTTAACTGCAGAGAACTTTGCATTAATAGTTGTCTTCAAAGAAATAACTTTATACCCCCAATTATTGATCAACTTACTGCCCCGCTTTGAATAAGCACCCCAGTCGCAACCAGCAGGGAATAAGTTCTTCATGGGCTAGTATGTGAAATTGTCATTTGATCTGTATGCTTACAGAAGTTTTTTGTTTTAAGGGGCAAAAACTCAACCAAAAAGGCCTCCTCTGCCAAAGTCAGTATCACGGCCATCAGCAAACACGTCAACAACTTCAATGTCTGCATTGTCAACATCATCTTCCTCATCATCTTCCACCTCCCATGTGTCTGCAGCAGCTGTCAGAGAAAGGACTGCAAAATTACCAACCACGCAAGCCTCTCTACAAAGTGTTTCATCTTCAATAAGTGAAGGTACTTTTAAAAGAAAAGTTGTAACACATAACTGTTCTGCCATTATGTGCTTTTACCTGTTGGTACACTTTCGGCACACCTTTTTCTGTTCCAGCTGAACTGTTTAGCATTTTCATGTTGTCTGTTAAATTTTTTCCTGTTTTGTTTTTAAAAAAAAATAATTATCATGGGACAATTTATTGTGGTACATGTATGTTGAAGTTAATCTTTCATGTCAGGTAAGTTTTGGTTTTCCATTGTTTCAAATTCATCAAAATACATTACAGTTACCATGCCCAAAAAGAACGGAAAATTAAAATTAACTGAGAAAAAAATTTAACTACTACATGTACATCAAAGCTGCTTTTCCACTTCCTACTGCATCCAGTTTGGTAAGGCCCTCTGAATTTCATATAACCTAGAAATACCTGCCTTTTGCAAGGTCTTCACTAAGATTTCAAGTTGCTGGGTGAATACAACAAGTAGGCAGGGAATCAAACAGCTAGGGATTTCTTTTGCTTCTATTTTTCCTCTACTTTCCAATGAAAGTAGTCGGAGACCACATTCATAATTTGTACCAAGGGGAAATTTCCGGTCCCTGGCTCTTCATTAGAGGGTAAGGATAGAGTGAGGGTACTCTGTTATTGATAGGCAGGTATTAATATCGATTTAAATGTTCTCAAAACATAGCCAGTCTTAACGTCTTAATGATGCTGACAGTTTCAATGACTGTCAGCCATCTTTATCAAAACTTGGAAAACATTAAAAGTGTCAGAAGCCTTAAATAGGCTTCTAAAGGTGTTAATTATTGTGATAAACACAAAAGACTGGCTATGTTTTGATATTAACTTCACTAGCCTGATGAATTTCTTCAAGAAGGCAGGTATTAATTTTATGCTTTTCTGAGTGATGACTGTCATAAATCTTTTGCAGTGATTAGCAATACACCGCAGGTATCAGTCACAGAATACCACAAACTTCAAGCTGAAATTCAACAGTTAAAGAGAGACCTGCAGGTAGAGTGTAATACCGTTAGTCCTCTATGAAGCCTCCAGGGGTTTATTTATTTCAGGCCCATTAATTTCCATTAATTTGAGAGCGGGGGTGGGGGGAGGGGGTTACTTATTTAATTTAGAAATCACAATGGTGTCATTTCTCCATAAAGAACTAGAATATAAAGTGGAAAAGCTCAAGTGCAAGATGGTTGGAGGTCATACAACCGAGGATCAGAATCAAATCCCAACTTCCAGTTGGTGAATATACCATCCTGGATCAATCCCACACAAAGTTTTACAGTCGTGATTGATTATTACAGTCCTTCATTAATTTTATTTGTGAAGAACAATCAGGGGAGGGGAGTGGTCTTAATAGAGAAGGGGCTTATTAACTTTCTTCCCCTGAAAAGGGGAGGCTTATTAGAGGGAAGGGGCTTATTTGAGAGTGGTGGGCTTAATAGAGGATTTATGGTAATTAAAAAACTGACAAAGTATAAATTATTATGAATTGGTAAAAACAATGGTGAGAAAGTCATCATTTTTTATTTTTCATAATTATTTATTCTACGTCATCTGATCTATACTTCAATAATTTATTATTTTTGATACTGATATTAAGTTTGTGGCAATTAGTAATTTTAAAGATCAGGCTTGGCTGTAATTATTGATGTCCTCAGGTGGGGGTACTCGGGATTTCAAGTGACAGGGTCGATCGAAGGATTTTTTGGGGTTTGAAATTTTTAATTCTGGGATTTTTTTAGGGTAGGAAAATTTGGCAAGTATTATTTTTTTTGGGTGGCTTGATTTAAGTAGGGTTTTGTTTGGCCTATCAAGAATCTGAAGATTCTTGATAGGCCCACGTATTGATCCAGGCGGTGTAATGTTTTTATTTTTCATGTTATATAAATTAATGCTTTCGGAAAAATTTTTAAGGCTCAGAAATTTCGCATGGGGTTTTTTGGGGGTTAGTTTTTGGTCCAGGGATATTTTTTGGTTTTGATTTTTCCCCCATTCGATCATCACTGTCACTTGAAATCCAGAGTACCCTCTGGGCGAAAGCTCCACCTTGTAGGTGATGATTTTTGTTTTCTTTCTGGGTTTAAACTGAATTTTTGTGTATCACCCAGAGGTTTTTAAAACAACATTCTTCTCTCTGTGCTATCTTTCTCTGTACATGCACTTCCTACATGTAGAATGAAAGAGAGAAAACATTGTTTACATTCTTTGTTATCTTTTGTTCAATAAAAAAACTATATAATATAAAATAAAGTGCTTTTTTTCTTGAAATCAGTGTCAGCTTTAAATTTTTTTGTCTTGGTTACCTTATCACAGGCTGCAAGGAAAGATAAAACAGCGGTGCCTACAGTACAAGAGACTGTGAAAAATATAATTCTTGGGCAGGTAAGTCACATGATGGGTGTGTAATTCAGTTGTAGTTTGAAACAGGTGGAGCAAGATACAGAATAGCCTAGATTAATAAATTTTTGAGTCAGTTTCATAAATTCAGGATATTTGTTGTTTACTGTATGTCGTTGTTGTTGTTGTTGGTGGGGGGGACTGACCTGTATGAAAAGTAATTTATGGGGTCGCCAGGATTAATTGGCATAATTATGCCGTAAATGCTCTATCAAGCCCCATTTGAGAGGGTGGGGGTGCGCACAACAGAGACAGGGAGATTATTTGAGATGGGGGGCTTACAGTATCTAACTAAGCAAAAGCCATGGTATCAGTTCTCCATGAAGAACAAGAATACAAAGTGGAAAAGCTCAAACACAAGAAGTTGGAGGTCATCTAGCCGAGGATAAAAAATTACTTGTGAACTTCCAGTTGGAGAATAAACCATCCATTATTCGTCCACCTGAAGTTTTGCCATCGTGATTGCTTCATACAATCTATCATTTGTTAGTGAGGAGTAAAATGGCCTAAGAAAGAACAGGGCACATGAGGGAGATGTAGGAGAGGGGAGTCTTTTTACACTCCATTCTTTCTCACGTATCATTTCCAAGTGCCTGCTAGACAGGGTAATCTGGGCATTGTTAAGACCTTTTTATCAGGTAGGGGAACACATATCACTGAGGATATGTATGTGTATCCTGGTTCCAGGTAGGGGAACACATATCACTAAGGATATGTGTTTCCCGTGTAGGGGAATACATATCACTAGGGATATGTTTTTCCTGGGTGGGGGAACACCTATCACTAGGGATATAGGTTTCCCGTGTAGGGGAACACATCACTTGGCAAAATGTAGGGCAACACATATCACTGGGGATATGTGTTTCCCTGGTAGGGAACACATATCACAAGGGGTATGTGTTTCATTGGTAGGAGAACACATAATTATACTACATGTAGGAATATGTGTTTCCTAGCGAGGGGAACACATATCACTAGGGATATGTGTTTCATTGGTAGGGGAACACACACAGCTGTATCAGTAGGGATAAATATATGTTTCTTGGGTAGGGGAACACATACATGTATCACTAGGAATATGTGTTCCCGGGTAGGAGAATACATATTACTAGGGATGTGTGGTTCCTGGGTAGGGTAACACATATCAATTACTAGGGATATGTGTTTCATTGGTATGGGAACACATATATTGAGGAATATGTGTTTCCCAGGGAGGGGAACACTAGTGATATGATTGTGTTTCCTTTGTAGGGGAACTCATATCACTAGGGATATGTTTTTCCTGGGTAGGGGAGCACATATTACTAGGGATATGTGTTTCCAAGGGAGTCGAGCACATGTTTCCCGGGTAGGGGAACACATATCGCTTGCAAAAAGATGTTGGAATTGAAATCTCTCATTAACAGTCATCTCTCTCAAAGCGATGACTCAGGGACCAGTTCTGAAAACGGGTATGGATTTGAGAGCCCTAGCCTTAGAATGGGTGTGAAAAAAATGGCGTGCTTTGGTCTGAAATTGAGTCAGGATTTGGGGAACTGGGTGGCACACCCGTACCAAGAATTCTAAGGGGTACACTGGACACCCCCACCCCCAGTCACACAGAGTAATTTGACTGTAATACATGTCTACAGGAAAAGTCAGATAAAGAGGAAAATGTATTTGACGTGTTGGAAATCATTTATTTCTTTTACTTGTAGTTTGGTACATATTAATTTTAGGTGCAAGTTTTATGATGTTACGTACATGTAATGTGACCGTTTTGCTTGTTTATTACAGCTGTGCAACTAAAAATTTGACTTCGTTTTATTTGATAGCCTTACACCCTTGAGGTGTATAAATCACTCCAAGACAAACTATCCCTCCTCGATTCAGCCATTAAAATGCATGATGGGAATGCCATCACTGCCGTAAGTATCATTGGGATCAATTTAGGTTTCTGAGAAACTGCCCACCTACCCCTCCCCTAAGCCAACATTATTAAGTGAGAAGTAAGTCTTAATGTTGGATTATGGGAGGGGTAGGTAAGCAGTTTCCCAGAAACCTTAATTGATCCTTCATTAATATATCGCACGAATATTTCCCCCAACAGCACGTGCTCTTCTTGGTGACTTTAAGGTCACATGACAGCTAACCATAATACTATTTCCTTTCTAAAGTCTTTGAGCTTGTGGTTTTGCAAAAGTAAATCTATAACTTCAGAGGGTAACACTGCAATAGACCTTTTTACCGATACGGCGACCATATTGAATTAATTCGATTTTTTTTTTGCCCAGGGGGCATGAGCTCATTTCGTTTGTGTTTTCGAACGTTTTTCGGGACATTTTGTCTTAATGTTTTCTTAGAATAAGATTGTAATGGGAAACAGATCCTTGTGCCGTGTTTGGATGTAATAATGATCGCCTTTTTCCCCGAGAAATATAAAGTGAAAGACCATATTTCTAATACTAAACTAGAAAAAGGCGATCATTATTACATCCAAACACGGCGCAAGGATCTTTTTTCCCATTACGATCTTATTCTAAGAAAACTTTAAGAAAAAATGTCCCGAAAAGCGCTCGAAAATACAAACGAAATGTGCTCATGCCCCCTGGGTATCTTATAATACTCCTTAAATCGAATTAATTCAATATGGCCGCCGTATCGGTAAAAAGGTCTATTGTTACCCGCTAATCTTGGCCACACTGTTTTCGTGGGCGTCGGCACTGTTGCGTGACCCTCGAAATACAAGGATGTGGAGCGGAGAGAGCAACCGGTTGCACTTAAATACACTATAAATCGGCTCAAGGACCACACCGAAAAGAAGAAGCACACAACTTAAGTAAGGTTAGCCGTTGTTCGTTCATAAACATAAGTTACGGAAACAATATTTTTTCCCTAACAAAGCAGTGTCGGCACTCATTTCTCAAACTTGGGCTACCTGTATGTTATGGAAACCGGTCGTTTCGATACGAACTCAAGCAGTAAAATTGCAGAAACATTTCGATCACTTCAAGTAAAGTTTGCTGTTTAACAAGAAAAACAGTTTGGGTAAATATTCTTCGTTCCCAAGGAGGGGGGACCCGGGAGTAAGGGGGTATGAATACCGCAAAACCGCACAGAATTACGTATAAACAGCGCACAGGTTAACATAAGAAAACCGCTTTGAATTTACTCGAAAATTTCTAAAAACCGCAAACCGCTTAGTTTTGTAAAACCGCCATACCCCAACTGAAAATTATAAAAATTTCCGCAAAATCGCACCAAAAATCGAGGAAGACCGCATCACCGCAAACCCTTACGCCACCTCTTTAAGCCAAGCACGTGAACTTACCTATTTATACCTCGAAGGAATTAGCTTTTATCGAAACGTGTTGTATTGAGACGACCGGTAACCCTGTATATATCTTTTTGGTCAACCGAAGTAAGTGTGTAAAGTGTGACAAAATGAAATGTTTCTCCCATTTTTTGTAGGCTGTATTGTTCCTACGGAAAACTGTCAGACCAGGTAATTTAGCTCATCAAACTAGGAGGAAGATCAAAATCTTCGGACCAAAACAAAGAAAATACCGGCCGTTGTACTTCTAAACGGAGACGCTGGTTTTTAGTTCAAATGTGTCAAGATCTGACTGCCACAGTATTATATTGTTATTTTATCCCTTCTATGCTCAGCGAGGCAGGTGGAGTTCCCTCGATTTATAACACACTTTCAAAAAGTGAAAAAAAAAGTGAAAAAAGAACCAGCAGACTTTTCAAATTGTACAATAATTTGTTGTGGTGTAGGTAAAACTGCAACGGTATATTACTCTCATCTAGAAATTTAGTGCATGGATTTTCTCCGGCTCTAATCTTTCTACCAAGAAACTCAGGTGAATGCATGCATAAAATCTTACAGAAATATTCGTGGGACTAAACAACCCGGGGGGTAGGGGACTTCCTTATATAAGCCATATAGGTGTGTGCTGCCCCAAAGAGTATGGTTTTTTGCGCCGTTTTGGTCTGAAAACTGGTATAGACTTTGCCCATTTTGGTCTGGAATCGGGAATAGTTTTCAGGGAGCTACGGTGGTGTATAAACATATTTTTCGATTGGTTCCAAATTAATAGGAAATAAACTCATAATATGCAAATTTGTTGGCGCTCTAATCTGAGTAATGATGTTATAATTTCTGTCTATGTAAACATGTATGTTGCGTTCTGTGACCTCCTCCAGATCTGAAAACGGGTGTGGAAATGACATTTTTTGGTCTGAAATGGGGCCAGGGTTTTTTGAGAACCGGGCGTCACAACCCACCAAAAATTCCTAGGAGCACCCCCCGGGGCCCACAAACAAGCTTTCGGGGGCGTGGGCTCGCTGGCAGGCCAGAGTTTGGTGAGCCGATCAAAACTCAAATGCAAACTTTCCTTTACTTGATAATTTGAGAACAGTTATAAAATCCTTGATTTATTTCTCACATTTTATAGCGATTCTTCGTGATGAGTTAAGAACGCGTCCCAAGGCTGTTGACCACTTAAGCAAATACCTCAAGGAACATTACGATTACACTGAACTAACAGAGCTGTATAGGTAGGCCTTGTTTACCGCTGTATGTGTGTACTCCAGTCCGGTAAAACGTTTTTAAAGGTCCCCCTATGTTGTCAGCCAAACGTTTTCCATAATCCCAACGGTTTCCTCGGTTAATCCCCCATCCCGAATATACGTGTAAATTGGGTCGATTCCCCGATTATCTTCGGAAAACTTATGGAAGATAGTGGGGGTAACAAACGGGTCCACACTTGTGTTCACCGTTGAAACGTTTTCACTTGCAATCGAGTTTAGTAGTCTCCCAAGTAGCCGTTCTTCGTTTCGTCACGCATTGTTCCTCAGGACCTTTGTGTGATGAGACCCAGAGCGGCTGCGTGACAGACTATCCGTTATTTATTGGGTAATAATTTACCTAATAATTGAAGCAAAATTTGACGAAACGCGATCTTTAAATTTTGCATGACTACAGTCATTGTCTTACAGTCAGAGAATAAACAGACTCCACCGCTAGTACTTGTATTGGCAGATTTTATCATTCGTTCTCTCCCCCACTACTGAGAAACCATGTGACATTGCTATTATCTCAATCTTCTTCAGGTTTGTCCATCCGTACCCTTGTTGTCTTCCCTCCGATTCACGTATGGAGCTGTTATTTTTATGTTTCACCGCTCAATTCAGTGGCAGTTCCCCCTGTTTGAATTGTGATAATAGGGAGGTTAAGCAGCGAGCAAGCGGAAGTGGACTTTTTTTGTACACTTTGGGCAAATCTTCTCTATAACGCCCCGTGCAAACGGACGCAACATTGTTGGCCAACAACTCCCAACATTGTTGGATGTTACATTTTGCGTCCGTTTGCACATCCTGTTGCATGTTGTTGCGTGTTGTTGCGCAAAGTTTGAAACCGGTCAAACTTTTCAGCCAACAACTCCTAACATTTTTTTTGTTCCTTGATCGCCGAAGCGTAGCGCAACAATGTTGGATCCGTTTGCACAGCTCTTCCAACATTGTTGGGGCCACGCACGCTCATTACGCATGGATTACAAAGACTTATGGGTTGTATCCTTCCCACGATGCACTGCAGGTCCCAACGTTGTTGGGAGTTGTTGCATCCGTTTGCACACCACTGCCAACACGCACCCAACAACTCCCAACATTGTTGGCGCAACAATGTTGGGAGTTGTTGCCCCCGTTTGCACGCAGCCTAAGAGTAAGGCATATAGACCTTGTCACGGTTTTGGACGCCATCTTGACGAGTAGGCAAACGGGTGAGAAATTACAGTGTTTGTATGAGAATCTAATGTCGAATAATTTCCTTAAAACGGCTGTTTTGAAAAAGATATCAATTGTAAACTAAAGCTACAAAGCAAAGGATTGTCCTAAAACATTTTGGAGGCGTACCTGTGCTTAAATTTTTCCAGAGGTTTGCTTTTGGATTTTCCACATGTTTGTCTGTAATTTTTGCGGGACTTTCCAACAGACAAATGTATAGGAAATTTAAAAAGTGGTTCTAGGTCTTCTAGTGCATGTAACGCCCTCAAATTTTTTCAGTAGAATCCTTAGGAGTTAAGCTTTAGTTTACAAATCATATTTTTTTCAGAACAGCTGTTCTACGGAAATTATTGGAAATTAGATACTCATACAAACACTGTAATTTCCCACGCGTTTGCCTACTCGTCAAGATGGCGTCGAAATCCGTGACAAGGTCTATTAAAAGAGAAAAAAGCTCCCTTCCGGTTAACGTGTATCGCTCAAAAACGTTGCTGCTTGAGCTCCATTATTTCGCAACACAACTCCTGTAAACTCGTGAAAAGATAGTGGGTATCATCAATAAGGTCTATTATGAAAAGTATCTGTATTCTTTTTACTATTTTTTCAGGTCTGTGGGTGAATACGAAAAGGCAGCGGTAAGCTTACCATTTGATCTTAAAGGAGGTTGGACACGGTCCGAAATGCATCTTGGTAGGAGTACTCAACCAATCACGTTGCGATAATTCGCCCCATGATACCTTGTACGCGGTGTCCAACCTCCTCTGATTTGAGCTGTTAATTGACTAAATTGCACTCGGCCCGTATTTTTATTTTTAAATTACCTAACACGTAAGCATCAATCATCAAAGAGTACTGTACATGGTAATACAGGCTTGATTTCAGTGGGCAGGCGTTTAGTTATTACTCCCAATCAAAACAACATTTTTAAATAAAATCAATTATTATATAACCACCAGAGAAATACCCGGTGAATTTCGCGCGAAAGCGTAGTATCTTCACATGTGAACTGACATAACATCTTCACACACTCGAAGCGAGAATTCGTATCTCCGCGCGTCCATGTAATATACTCTACTTGTTAAGCTCATTCTTACTTGATTTTAAGTTATCCGATCATTCTCTTCAATGTGAAATATGCGAATGTGTGTTTTAAAGTTAAGATCTGGCATTCTTTTTCAGATGCTTCAATTCAATCAAGCCGTTAAATCAAAAGATCCTGGCGTAAGGTTAACCAAGCTTAAATATATTCTCAGGTATTTTTTCTTCTTCTCCTTTTTTTTTTGCTGCTGTGTCTGTCATATTTATTTCTACCCTTTAATAACGCCTTTTTCAGTTAGTAAAAAGTAAAATATTATTAAATATTTTGTTCATACCACTCAAATAACTTGAAACAGAAAATCCAAATCTGAGCTACAAGTGGCCGGCCCATGCCGTTCAACGAAATCGTACTTGAGCTCGGACATGCATGCTTGTACAAAGTTAATACGAAAGATAATAGTTTTGCAGATGAATAAAATCTACCTTACGCGCGAGTGAATTGACGTACCAACCCAGTACCTTTGTTGCAGTGAGTATCTGGCAATAACCAGTCTACCTGTGATTTCCGCGGCTACCATGCCTAATTTTTGTTCAAGACTCGTATTGCGTCCTTGATCGAGTCCGAATATATTTGCATGGTTACTAAGCCAGAAATGTGTCCTTTCAAGACAGAATAATAATTTGCAGCCCCGCAAAGTAAAACATAGTAGGTCCCAAAAGCCCAATTTACAGGAGACAGCCCAGTTGGCTACTTACAAGCGTGGCCGAGGAGGGGTTGGACTGGGCACGACTGAGAAACAAATTCAGTTTTACAATAACTGGGCGACTTCTCGCGCGCTGATTGGACGAGAGCTATGGTCGATAAGAGTTTATACAATGATGTGAAAGCTACGCGCACTGTGATTGGTCGTTTCTCATGATCTGTTAAAGTACAGACACATGGATGATGTTACGGGAAACTTTTTTTTAGTTTTGTTTAACATGGCACGCGGTTTTGAAAAATTTGTGACATTATTTCGGATTAAGCAAGCGAAATCCTCGTAAGAAAATTAGCAGGATCGATTTACAAACAACTAGATTCCATGTTGCCGTGGTTCTGTTTTCATAGATAGTGAAGCTCTGCCTGCAACTACACAATCAACGAGATCTACCGGGTCATCGAGCAGCAGTGCTATTACTTATATCCCTAAGGGAATTAGAACTGTTACTTATCAACGCTCATTTTTCATACGCGCGTGCCGCACATGGAATGTTTTGCCCGCTGGGTTACGCACAGGTCACATCTCTCTAGCCTTATTCAAGCGTTCACTACTTCAATATTACAATAAGGCTCTGAACCTGTACGACGTTGACGACGTCAGAACGTGGAGAACAATCTGTCCCAGGTCCAACATAGCGAGGACTCTCCTGTGCCCGCCGACGTGCTGCTTCTAGCAATTTGAACTTCTGTTTTGTTTCCTTTTAATTTTCTTGTTTATATATCAGTGGCTTTAGTTATTCTTATGTTTTGTTTTTTAATTAACGAGGGATCCACTGTGATTGGTTAGGCTGTAGTGGTCTCCCTGCCTAATAATTTTTATGTATTCATGTATAAAGATTGTATTCTAGTTAGGCGAAGCTAAATAAATGAATAAATAAGTTTAGTAATAGATCATAGAAGACGGCAAAATGTGGCAAAAACGGCAGTGACACGCTCGAATGCGGCTCTTGTGCCACTTACTGAACAGACGCACGGTAACATGGAATGTATTTGTCAAACAGACCATGGAAAAGGCATAATGGTGTTGCAAAACTTCTTGTGAAGTAGATGTCAAAAACTGTCAATGAAATTTCCAAAAAAGAAAATCAATTTTGGTGTATTCCTTTATCGACCATAGAAATGACGTCAAAATGTTAAAAACTTTGCAGTGAAATCTGCGGTTCACGGTTCCACATGAGAGTGAACATTTTGACGACACGTCTATAGTCGATAGGATTAAAGAGTATTGAAATTGTTTAGCCTTGTTAAGAGGTCAGAGCGGGAATCAAACTCACGTAGTCTCCCAAGCAGCCGTTATTTGTCCGTTACGCAACGCTCCTCCCAAAATACGAGCTTTGCGTGATTAAACAATGCCGGAACGGCTGCGATAACCGATATAAGGCTGCGTTCGCAGCCTATGGAGGCCAGAACACCTGTTCCTTTTGTGCGAAGAACCGTTGTGTGACGATGCGTTGAATAGGTGTTAAGGAGACTGCGCCGTAGTAGTCACTTCATTTGCGCGGTTTTAGTTTATCTCTTTTCTAATGGTCCAATTTTATTGTTTTCATTCCAGACATCATTTTGAAGGCTATCCGCAGCTAAGTGAACAAACAAATTATCTCAATGAATACATAGAGTTACTCGAGCAGCAATTACTCATCGAGGTAATTCATATTGAATAAATCGTGCTACGGAGTCTATTCGGAAAATAAATAAGCCCCTCCATTTATAGCCCCGCAAACCGGTAATGCGAAAAACCCTCCGTTAAATCGCCCCTCCAAATATAAGCCCCCCGGGGGTTTGTTCTTGGAAAATTGCCCTCGAATACAAAGTAAAATAAAGCAAAAACGGTAACCCAATCGGTTTTGAAACGCAAATTTCCCTCCGTAGATAACCCCCTCCGAAGGTAAGCCCGTCAAGAAGGGCCTTTGAAAAATATAAGCCCCGGGGCTTATTTTCGGAATTCTACGGTACGTTTCTTTTTATTATAACGGCTATCAAACAGACAAACTTTTCTTGTAAGAAATACTGTACATTTCGCGCGTAGTCGCATATTGATCCTCAGTTAAAGAAGAATAAATATGATAGGCAAAGTAACCATAAAAATATCATCTTCATAGATTTGATGCAGAAAATATTATGGAGTAATCAACGGGCGCTAGCTCGGTCACGTGCTAGTCACCTCAACTGATTTATGTCAGCTTTGTTTTGATTGGCTGAGAGGCGTGCACGAGTTTTTTTTTCTTTTTCAACCAAGCACAAAGCTTGTGGTAAAGCAGGATTAGAACATGCTCGAATACTTTCCACCGTTTCATTTCTTTCAGCTTAAGCCACGTGCAAACGGACGCAACAACTCTCAAAATTGTTGGGCCAACAATGTTTGGTGTTGTCGCGTCCGTTTGTACACCTCTGCCAACACGGACGTAACAACTCCCAACATTGTTAGCCCAACAATTTTGGGAGTTGTTGCGTCCGTTTGCACGTAGCTAAAAGTTTGCTCGCTTTCAAACTTTGGGCAATAACTCCCAACAACACGTAACAACATACAACAGGGTGTCCAAACGGACGCATCATGTAACATCCAACAATGTTGCGGCCGTTTGCACGGGGCTTTAGACAGGGTAGACCGTTGCAAAACTAATACGTCGCCTGAGTATTGTCGTTTTTCTTCCAATCTTTTATAAGGACGCAGATTCAAGAGCTGAAAGTGCGCGGAAAAATCAAGTGATGGTGGCGCATCCAAGACAGGCCTCATTGCCGTTATGCTCTTTAATCGTTACACTGTATTACTGTTGCCGTTATCACTTTGGAGAACCCGAGGTAAAAGGGATTTTTGTATCAACTGTTTTGGGTATAGCTTACTATGGCATGAGGCACAAATATATTAAAGAATCAATAATAAGTTAAACAAAATTAGATAACTAAAAGTCAGCTCATTGGTAAATAAATTAAGAAATTAAAATACATGTATAAATACACAAAAAATAGAAAATAAAAAGGAAAACTTTATACACCCGAGTGGGCAGGTGAGGATGAGACAAAAAAGGTCCATACTAGCCACCGCCCGTCTCTCTTCCTTGCAGAATTAACTGCCATTGGCCAAGCCGGTTTCTAGCTTTGCGCGCGCCGTCGTCACTGAATTCGCGTTTTCGTTTGTTAAAACTCCCTATTTACTCGAAAGAGCGTCATACACCCTCCAAATGCTTAATGAAATTATTCATTTGGTGTTTTTAAGATTTTATTGGTTTTTATTGACGCTGCTTTAATTCTGAGAAGGGGGCGTAGGCCTTATGGTGTTATATTCTGTTTTAGCAAAACATAATTCCTGTCACAAGTTAATGACATGGACAACGCAGTAAGCCTGATGTGGTTCTTACTTACTTTGGTTCATTTCCGATAGGTGAGTTGTTAGCCTGATAGTTTCCTCTCTCCTTTTACTGCAGAACACCTTTACTAGTCCACTGGCTATTCGTAGCAAGTTTAAGGTGAGTAAAGCCCTTTTCTTTGGGGGAAAGGGACGCTTTATAGTTGAGCAAGAAAGGCAGCTAATAGCGTAAAATCCCTGTTAAAAGCTCCTTGGTTAGAGGCTTCACTACCCGTTAACAAAAGTAATAAATAATGCTTGTTGCTGCGGAGCGACCGAAGGGAGCGAGCAGCAACATAATCAGGATTTAAAGGAAATATATAAGGGGCGACGAATTCTCGAATTCATCACTTTTTACCACAATGCATTGCATTTAACCACACTTTTTACCACAATGCATTGCATTTAACCAGAGTGCATTGCGCCACGAACAACTCAAATAAACACGGGGAAGTTCAGTGGGTGAGAGAGTGCATCGTTCGCTGCTCAGACTTTTCTACAGCACGGTTAGAGGTCTTACCAAATTTTAAGACACGCAGGAGTCTTTCAGATGAGTACGATGGTTAAACTTGGGCATTGGATTTCAATTCAAGAGCCTTTTTGACTCGTCCAGGTGTTAAACCTGACGAGAAGATGAGCATTTGCTCTTCGACTCCGCAACACGGGGGATATACAAATTCCAGCTTGCTAGAAGGTGATATGAAAGGGAGAAAATGTCATGCAATGCTATTCTTAAGAAACTGTATGAGCCGAAAATGGATGTGATTTTGACCATTCGCTTCAAAATAACAGCGGAAATCGAGATAACAAAACATATGTTTTGTGTCCTATTTTGCAGACGAGGACGTGTATCGGCGTTTTGAAAAGCATAATTATGTTCTTTCATTCATTTATTGCCATGGAATATGCGTTTACATTGTTTTTTCACTGTCAATAGCTCGGTTAATGCGGCTGGCGATCATCTTGCCGGCGGAAGTTTCACGGAAAAGGAATAAAATAAAAGACTTTTCCTAAAGACTACGTAGTCAGTCTCTGTGGTGTAGTGGTTAGGTGTAGTCGCCTCGAGTGGACGTTGCCGGGTTCGAATCCTACTGAGTTATTTATTCCTTCTTCCTTTTTTTTCCCGTTTTTTGTGTTGTTCTTTTCTATAAATATATAGCTAAATAACTGTTACTTAATAAAGTGCAACAAACAGCAAGAAAAGTATTGTGTTTCCAGAGAAAATATCGTGCACCGTATATTAAATATATGGATAAACGATCTGAATTTCTATTATTTCCTACAATTTACTGTGGGAAAATCAGAGTTGATAACCACTTGATCATTTTTTAAACAACGTTCCCACGAGTTCTTTCTATAGACTGATAGTAATTATTCAGTACTTTCCAACATGTAAATAGGACATTCAATGTCATTTTTGATTCTTTTAAGTCTCACTGCCTAACTAATGCCAGTATCAACAGAATGTGTCGCAGCATTACTATCTTTTAGATACCCTAGTTTTTATTATATAAACACCAATGAAATATCAGGCGAGCTTTCACGCGAAAACTTGATATCTTCACATGTGAAAATAACATGTTATCGTCATTCGTGAAATATCACCGTTGCTATGGCTACATAATAAATCGCGCCTTTCACAGCAAAAAACTATTTAAGTGAAATGATTTGGTGCTTCATCGGTGTTTAAAAAATAAATAGAACAATACTTGGCCGCTTGGAGATACGAGATTTCTCTTCTCGTGTTGAAAATATATTTCACTCGTGAAATATTTGCTCACGTTTGAAGATAACGTGTTATTTTCACATGTGAAGATATCAAGTTTTCGCGCGAAAGCTTACCTGGTATTTCATTGGTGGGTATATGATAAATAGAGGATATTACATGGAGGCGCGGACATTTCGTATGTCCGCGCAGCCATGTAATGTCCTCTATGTATGCCTGAAAAATCACCCGGATTTTGTCCTGTTGATTGTAAATTGTAAGGTCAAAGCCAATGCAGTCCCCCTCGCCAATCACAGCAACTTTAGGCAATCAAACAAACCGTCTCTAGCTCTGGATGGTACATTACATCGTCTGTCTCTGCTTTATCTTTCTAGCTATCCGACAAACAGTACGAGTGGACAGCGCTCTCTTCTCGAGCCAAACTCAAACAGTGGAGAGGCCTGGAGCAGATGTTCACAGTTAAGGTGTGTATGGGTTCTCACCATGTTACTCCCAAATGTGTAGGGAGTCAAATTCTGTAAAAACTCTCGAATCTTGTAATGTAAAATATAGAGAAACAAATAGTTCCATGTAAATATAATGCGAAAAGAGGTTTCAAAGAAATGGTCACATTATAGAAATTCATCGACAGGGTGCAAAGAAAATCATTTTTACAGCTTGCCATTCGGGCAAGCTGAAGCTAACATTTACTAGCCCAGATGTCATTTCAACTAGCCTCAAAAGCTTTTTTAAGAGCAGAATTGATCTCACAATTCTTCTGTTATTCGAATTCCTCAAAAAAGATCACTTTCCCGTCGGGCAAGTTAACAACAAGATTCACTAGCCCGATAACAAAATCCACAAGCCCCGGGCTATCGGACACCACCTTCTTTGCACGCTGATCGACCTAGCAAACCCACAAATTACCAGTTGGTGAATTACCCAGGGAATGAGAGCCTTAACACTGTAGAAAGTTTTTACTGGCTTTGCGCGAAGCGAAGTCGATGGTAGATTTCTGTTCCCTTATTAATACCGCAAACGTATGTCAAAAAGAAAGACTCCCCAGACCCGAAAGGTAATCAATGGATACCTAAAGAGAATACACAGACTTTTTTGCAGTTATCATTGTGTTTTGCTTCCAAGTCCCCACTTGATTTAAAAGGGGCTTTGTCACGCTATTTGCTATCCAGCCCTTTAAAAAGGCATAAAACGTTTCTGGGAATCTGCCCACCTGCCCCTCCCCTAAACCAACATTGACACTTACTTCACCTTCACTTAGGCAAAATGTTGGCTTAAGGGAGGGTAGGTGGGCGTTTCCCAGAAACGTATCCAATTTAGTTTTTGTATCAATTGAATTTCAAAAATAATGGTCCAGTTTTGTTATTTAAGACTATATTTAACCATTGAAACTATTTCTTGTCGTCTGTTGCAATGGCTGGTAAGGATGGACATGGATTACTCTTTCAAGTACAGTAAAACCCCGCGTATAAGAACCTGGGTTTTAAGAACCCGTTAGGCTAAAATTTTCATTTTAAGCCCCCTCCACATAAGCACCTATTAAGGCTAAAATTTTAAGTTAGGTTATCAGTGGAACTGGAGTTATGAATGTACTGTATTTGTCCCAAGATTTTCTTGGTATCAACTTTGAAATGGCATTTCAGAGAACTGACTATGAGTTTGTTTGTTATGTTTTGTTAAGGACATACCTGCCCTGTGCTGCCTTGAGGCATTACTGTATGGTATAAATGATTTATATTGTATTATAAGATGATATTGATAATATATTTGAATGAAATTCATATGAGAATATAAGAACCTATTTTAAGAACCTTGGTAGTCTAAATTTGCTTTAAGTGCGATTTATGTAAGAACCTGTTAAGGCTGAATTAAAAAATCCAGGTTGTTATACGCGGGATTTTACTGTATTTATAATGCAAAGTCGGCAAAAATCACCAAAATGTTATGGTTAATTAGTGCTCCTTGATGAAGTGTAGGTGATATCTTCTATTTAACTCTACGGGAGAATCTTTTTATGGGTAAACGCACAAAGTAATGCCTTCAACAAAGAATTGATCTAAAATAGCAAAATCCTCGTGACATAACTTCCTTGAAAAGTACAGTTTGGGCTAAATTGTTGTCTTCTCTGTTTCAGGGATTTTTTGGTTCAGTGAAAATGAAATCAGTCATCGGATTTAAGCAAGTTGTTGAGCTTCTTCATCAGCATGGAGCTCCTGAGGAGGTATGGGACTGGTGACTAATTGAAATTGATAATTTATTGTTATGGACAGAAGTATCAAAGCAGGTTTTAGAAATAAACTGAAGCAAATTGTAGACGGTTAGAACCGCACTGTCGTAAATATTGTGTTTGAATGGTAGTACTTAATTTCAGCCACCGTTTACTCAAATGTTAGAGTCATCTTTTACTGCACAGCAGACAAATCACGTACAGTAGCTCGGATTTCTTGTCCCGAGGCCAATAGGACAATTGCGCGATGACGATATTTGACTACAACTACCAGAATTCATTTCGTTTTTGCTTTGTTATTTAAATTTGCCAATTCCGCTGATGATAAAAGAACAATAGCCTTAATTTGCCCCTGTAGTAAAATGACGTCATCGTGCAGTTGTCCTATTCGCGCTGTCCGAATAAGCGGGGAGGCTTGGAACCAAAGCCAATAGCCCAGACAGATTGACTGGTGACGTCACATCCGAACTCACCCAGAACTGGGAACGATGCTGGCGTCAAACGTAACAAAAAAGACAAATATTGTAGAGCGAAATATTTTTTTGTAATTGTAACTGTAATTTGTTTACCCACAGAGCATTTAGGAGTTCTTAAGAGCTTGTTGAAACGTGTTCATGTTCTTCCAGATCGAATTAGAATTTCGAAGTGTTGGTTTTTAAGGATAGGGAAAACCGGAGTACGCGGAGATACATCTCTCGGTGCAAAGGAGAGAAGGAATAACAAACTCAACCCACATATGGCGTCCTAGCCGGGATTTTAACCCCGGGCGACGTTGAGTGGAGGCGACTGCTCTCACCATTACGCCACCCTCAACAACATCACTGAAAAGTAGCGCTTAGAAGCTTTCGTTTGAACGGGCGGGCGATTTTGCCAAGAGAGGTTAGAATGTTTTTTGTTGGTTTACCTTGCAGGTGTTGAACACTTATTTGAAATTAATAACCGATGCAAACGAGAGACTCTCCTTAGCGACAAAACTGAAATGCCACAATATGGCAATCCAGGTGAGTTTGTATTGGTCACTTTATATACTACATTGTAGTTACTAAATCTTCAGAAATCTAATTCGGTAATTGTGGACCCTTTCCGGGTTAAATGGGAATTTGGGCATGTTGGCGAATTCAGCAGTGTCCCTTGTCCATTAAAGTAGTTATCTCAAGTCCTTTTGAGGCCCCTTTGTCAACAATACGCCTCTTAAACGCAGTCCGGTGAGATCGAGAATATCCTTTTTATAATACCCTTTTTACCGCAGTCTTTTTGTTAACCCCCCTCCCCCTGGAGCCGAGCGTTAAAGTAAATAAAAAATAGTAGCCTCTTAGATCGCAAATGGAAAGATTTGTGAACATGACCTCTAGATCTGTCCTCCATCCTCCTTCCTCTTCCTTTTATGTTCATTGCAGTGCACAACGTTTTCTATGTCGAATACCCTCACATCTCCTCGGTCTCTCTCATCAGCTATTTCTTAACATTTCCATGGTAACGAGGGTGTTGCGCTTATCAGATAAATCAAATTGCAATGCCACTGCCTTGTGGCATAACGCAAACTAGCAATGACTACCGGTTATTGTTCGTCTTCCTTGAAGTCACGTGCGTCGCCTGGAGCAGTAAGGAGGAACAGTCGAATGCCTTATACTTAAACGAGTTAAACAATCGCTTTTGCGAGAAAACGCGAAAAGTAAGGGCGTTAATCGTTCTCGCTCACTCGACCCCCCACCTGACTTTTCTTGCAAGAATGTTATTGACTAGAGTCGAAGCTATCTGTATGAACACTGTTACGGATAGGCCTAGTCCCAAAGATACCAAACTCTACCTCAGACACATATGCAATGCAGGCTCTTGCGGGACTGCATCAAAAAGGTGTATTTGTTCTCTTAGTTCATAAAACTCATGTCTATGTAATCGATAGGGCTTCCCCCTGACCCTGGACATGCTGTTACAATCCTTCATGCTAATAGTTACATATACAATGTCATGTAATATATCAAACATGAGATGCAGTGTTTCATCACCAGATGAAACACCGAGAAGAGAGTTGAAAATACGACGCGCAGCGGAGTATTTTTGACGAACTTCGAGGTGTTTCATCTGGTGATGAAACACTGTGTCGAATGTTTGATATTTCTTCTCAAACAAAATCATTTTTGAAGGAGAAATTAAGGATGCAAATACTGAGCAGTTTTTCATCCGATTTCCAAACACTCATTAAACATTAATTTTCTTTGTATTTTCTTTATGAATTATTAATGAGTTTGAGAAATAATATTGACCAATGTCCAGCCTTATTGACCTCTTGCTCGGTCAATAACGCATTTAGCTTGCTATTATGTGCATTTTACGGCAGACGTTGGTTGCGATGAAGGACCGACAACAGCTTGATAAGTACAGGAGCAATCTGCGAGGAACAGCCCCAGAGCAGGCTAAAATCACCGAATATCTCAGCAACTCGGTAAGCTTTTAAAATTACAGGGTCGTGCCGTTGTTTTGCTTTATGTGTTTTTGTAAGACATCCGGTCAGCGCACTGTGTCAAAGCCAGGAGTACTAAGCCACAATCATTGACAATACGAGCTGATACATTGTTTAACAAAGGTCATGGATTCCATGACGTATTTAGTATACGTTTCTAACGTCGTAACAAACACCTCAATTATCTCCCTTCCCTCTCTACTTCCCTAGAATATTCAGTCACGGACCTTTACAGAAGAAGCAACAACACTATTGTAGCGCGCTTGTTTTGGTTTATGCCTTATAGAACGAGGAATACTACTGTTAGAGCGTGGTCGTTTGGCTTGCTTATATGACGAGGAATTAATACGATCTGTATCGATCAAGCATACGGACTGTTACGATCCGTACGGATAGTACAGATCGTACGAACCGTAACACACTGTGCTCTGATGTAATCATGAGATGCACGCTCCGTATGCTGTCAGAATACGGATGCTGACGGTAATGCTTACGGTTTGTACGGAGCGTACGATCCGTCAACTGTTCTTAACGGTCCGTAACAGTGCGGTAGTATCGGACATGACCGCTGGGGTGGGGCCAGGTTCGAGGGGGTGAGGGCTGGGCTACTTGTCCGAACCGCTGGAGTCATTTAAGTAGTTTCACCCTTCCTTGCCGTTGCACATTCACGCTGTCCATGCAGTTCATGTTTGATTCTACCAGTAAAGGACACAGCTTATGGGAATCTTTCCTCCGGTCCGATGGATGTATTTAGGGACATTCGGCCCCCTGGATCCATCATTGGCTTTTTATGCTATCGTATTTCCATCAAAAGGTGTCTAGTCACTTCATTGTTAGATTAATAAGTTCGTAGTTCCTTGACTTACTACCAGCTTCTGTCGTAATGCTTGTTTACCACCAGCGCAGGCTTCCTGTGGTCTGTCACGCAACGACCCTCCTGGTGGGGAAGAGTGCGTGACGCGCCAATAGAGCGTAAGTCTAACCCAACCCTTCTCCTCCCCGTTTAAGTTTCAACCGCTCACGCCTACCGTCATCGTTGCGCGCTTGCGGATCTTTTCTTATTCAGCGACTAGAGGAGTTTTCTTCTTGCCCTAATTAACAGGTTCTGTTTATTTATCTATTTATTCATTTATTTTGTTTTTAAACACAGCAATTGCGATGGAAGAACTAAACAGAAAACTGTCACGATTGAATGGAAGAATCAAAATATTGTATCCTGGACTAGAATAGATATTTTTTATTTCTTTAAGAGGATATACTGTACATATAAGATTTTTGTAGGCTTTTTAAAAAAGTAATGTTTAAGTTCAATAAAAGTCATTTCAAAAATGCAATTTATGCGTGTGCGACTTGCGTCCAACGTGAGGCTAATTAGCAAAGAATCGCTGCTTTTAAAAAAAGAGTGATATCGCAGAGTATTGAGAACACTTTGGGTGAGGCGTTGCACGAATGAAGATATTGGGAAGGAGATGAATGTCATTTCCGATTGGTTATTACAGTATGTCAGGAAAAAGAAACGATTTTTTCCGTCATGTAACCAGGCAATATGCATCTCTTGGAAGGGAAGGATAGGGTGACCTACAGTCAAATGGAAACAGACCGTAAAGGAGCGGTTTTTTTGGCTCTATGGAGAGGGTAACAATGATGGCTCAAAACAGACCAGTGCATCAAGCTGCTGTGTGAGAAGCCACGGTCTAAAGAGAGAGTATGTACTACTACGACGACGATTATAACATCAGTAAGTATGGAATATTTGTGATTTGTACATTATGCTCGCATTTTTTTAGTATTATAGTGAGGCAAAAGCATTAAGCATTATTTGATCAGTTAAGTGGCATTTTCCTGGTAAATTAGGGTTTTTTTTCTTACAGAAAATTAATTGAAACATTTTTGGAGAGATATGACGAGTTTAAAAATAATTCAAAAAACTATATTCAAATTTCACGTTAATACAGCTATATGGATGATCTTTTTGCTATATTCAAACTGTTCATTTTCATACATTGTTGTCATACCACTTATACATTTTTGTTAGCCTTAAACCCCCCTTAAAATGTTTAGAATTAATTTAAAAAAGGCCTCTCTATGATGAGCATTATTGAGCATTTTAGTGAATTTAGTAGGGACTATCGAGCCTTTTTGTGGGAAAAATGAAGCATTAAGGTGGATCATCCTAGTGGGGAAACAAAAGCGTAATGTACAAAGGGCTAACCCTATTTTGACAGCTGCGTGTCAATTGACCATAACATGGGTGTCCAATATCAACACAAGTAACTCATTGGACTCCTCCCAGGGCTTTTTCCTACTTGGTCCCCGGAGCCACTGAGGAGAGGACCCAAGCTGAAATCTTACATCAGCTTACATGGAGGGGCGGCCATACGGACGGACGATTTTGTCACGAGCAAAATTCTTGGATGCATAGATGAGCAAATTCTATTACCCACGGCGCTCCGCTGCGCGCTTCGTTCACGTGAGAGGTGAGAGCTTCGCGTAAAAATTTCCGAACTTTGCGTACTTTTTGCAACCCTCTGCGCATTGAAGCATGCTGATCAAATTAAAAGTGTTGAATAATAATGATAAATAAGTTAAGTTCAAAGGAAAGTTAGTCACCAAAATGTCTTATTTTGTTACAAAAAAACGCTATCTTTTGGCATTTTTATTCATTTTTCTAGACGGCTAGCAGTCTAAATTTTTCCTTTCCTTTTCTCGCGCAGTTTGCTTGAGGGGCGAAAGAGATCTAAGGGCTCCTTTTTCATATTTAATGGCATTATCATTGATTGAGTATAAATTTTTCACATTAAAATATGAAAATTGCTTACAAGGATGTTAACAGACCTAGTAGCATCCTCATTGCCTGTCTTTATCGCTATCGATGAATTTACTCGGGGCGAGCAACCAGTAATCACGCAATGTTTGTTTCTTTTTGTGGGCACTTTGTGTTCAATTTTTACTCTACTGTAAAAATTGACTTTTAGAACTGATAAACAACATGACAGAATTGTTACGGAGGCCAGCCCTCATCCGTGAAGGAGCCCTCCAGCTATGAACTCTTTTGTTCGCTTGAATCTGACGTAAAACATTTTATGAGAAAGATGTTTTCATGTTAAGATTTATTTACTTAACTTTATTACACATAACATATCCGGCGCACCGCATATACTAGCCTCGGTGTTTCTTCAGTAAACTTCCAAGCAGCAAAAACAAAACAAAAACTTCGCATTTCCCTGAATTTGACTAAGTACCACGCGGTTTACCATTTAAGGCGAAAAACGGCGATGGCGGCATTGAAGACCATTGTAGGTGTGATCGGGGTCGTGTTAATCGTAAGTAATTTACGTGTGCGACAACTTTGCGACAATAGGATTGGACAGAAATATGTTCAAAAAGAGTCTTTAACCCCCGTGCAAAATTTATGATATCTAAAGCCGTAAGACGCCAGAAGTGAATATTATTTATTTCTTTAACAGACGTTTGCAGTTGGTAACGATCACGCAAAGAACAAAGGAGGACCACATGTTACTTCGGGGTGCAAGGTGAATTATCTCACACTTCTTTAATTTTCCTCCCTTCGGCGTAAATCTGGTTCACGCAAAAGAGGAGGAAACCTTTAAAGTGAATGTGACTAAATGTGCAAAAGACTTCAGGACTTAAAACGGTTCGCAGTCAAAAATGACGCTTTCCTATAAAGCAGACGAAACATCATTCATTCATCCTTTTGCCTTTGTTTGCGGGGAAACGCCTGTCCTAAATCACTCAGCTCCCGTCCAACCTCTTGTCTTTATTATCTGTTGCGAGGTGCCTCCAAATGCGGCATGTACAGGCTTTATGACTACAAAGGAAACAGTTACCCACCTTACTGTGATTTGACATCTGAGCCCGGTACTGCATGGACACTGGTCATGTCATGGAGTGTTGCTTATCGCAAGCTTTCTCCGTTTCTCGAGTATCCTTTCGGGTACAACTATCCAGTGAACGAGAACTCCCTGAACTGGAATCTCTACCGCTTGAATCTGGTCCGAACTAAATCCCTGAAGGACCACTCTACCCACTGGCGAGCAACATGCAGCTACCCGACCCACGGCGTCGATTTCAGAGACTACCTCCGTGGAAACTTCAAGGACTTTAACGTCTTTGATTTTGAAGGTGCAGGTACGTGTAAGAAGGTGGAATACATCAACATCCGGGGACACTGGGGCCTCCATCTCTCGGTACCTTTCTGGCAAAGTGTAGTAAAGAAAATCACTCTGCACACTGACAGTGACGTGAGCACCTGTGATTTTAAGGCCGCGAAGACTGGTGCAGTCTCCAGTGAGGACAACTTTGGCTACTATTGGGTCATCAACTCCAAGTTCCGCTGTACACAGGGTACCCACTCGACCACCCAGTGGTGGTTTGGAGCTCATCTCTAATCCTTACAGGGTTGAGACAACCACAGCAGAGGTCACAGGACTGAAACACTGTTCCTCGATGATTGAAAACAGAATCTTGTAATCTGTTTCATGATGATTTTAAATAAAAGTGTTGAAAACAGTCAACCAAAGTGTACAACACTTACTTTTTTATGAACATGCCAGCTAAATAAAAAAACGCAAGACTTAATTAAATTTAAATTTGCAAACAAAAAACTTTTTTACCGGTTTCATCGATAAATTCTTTTAAACAGACAAAGGTTTACCTGTAAAAACTGCCAAACCGAATTTCGTAGCCTTCTTCCGGTTGTCGGTAACCACCTCTTCGTTTATTTCTGAACTTTTGTGGCTAGCCACCTCCACTTCAGTGAATGATTGTTATTTGGCCGAAATTCACTCAATTAACAGATTATCATTATTGTTATTATTATTATTTTAATTTTTAATTTTTTTGCGACTCTGTTTCCCTCGTTTTAAAAGTTCTAGCCTCTCAAACTAGACTTTCTCCTTATAACTGAAATACTGCTCAATTGATTATCAAGGTCATAAGAATAGAGGAAATGATCACCGAAGATAAGTGAAGATATTGATTTGTAAACAAATTCTCGTCACTAGTACCATGCTGATTAAGAAATGCATGAAAAGCAGCGACAGGAGCATATGTTTTTAAATTATTAAGGCTTAAAGGATCGGCTTTTATCGTCCGATCAATCCTTGTTCCTCTCTCCTTTGTTACGTTTCGTTTATTTTGTTCTAGATCCCGATGGAAAAAGGCTCGTCTACGCTGCTTAAGATGTATTGTTCCTCGCAACTCCATGAAAATGTTATTTCTGACGAATGAGCCCGCGAAGAAGGCAGAAATAAATATTTTGACGGCACGAGATACAACAGGGCCTGGGTACTAGGCCGGGTGCACCATGGGTAGCCATATCGGGGGTATATAAGGCTGCGTATATCACGTGTTGGTCATCTAGGCTTACGAACCAACCTCTCCTTGGTTTTTCTTAACGTTCTTATCGGCTCTTTCTTGCGTTATATCCGTCAGCAAAGACGAAGTGTCCGATCTCATTGAGGAGAATAACAAACAGCTAATGGACTCGTTTAAAGTTTTGTTAACAGAAACCGTTGGTCAAATCAAGCGCGCTAATGAATATTTGACCGAGCAGCAGATGAAGGAAATTAAGAAACTAAAGTATAACGAACCACGTAAGTTCAAGAAGAAGGCCAACGAAAACCAGTTTTAAAGGATCCACAGTGCAGAATTTTGCGGCCGTGTAGCGTACTAGGCCCGTAAGAAGAAGAAGACCACTCAAAAACAGATCCTCGCCAGTGGGAACGCCGGCGTCCACCTCAACTTCACATATGCAACCCCAGCCTCATGTCAAACGTTCCTGTTTTAATTTTCGCCTTCTCGACGACCCAGTGTCGGGACCTGTTTTGCCCGTGGAAAGCGTTCCTGTTATCTGACGATGGACAAACCAAACATCCCAAACTCCCAAATGGCTAGATGAAGGACAACAATCAGGTGCAGTCTATTCTAATTTAGTACTGAATTTTTTAGGCGGCAAGCCGTAATATGGATCAGGATTGTCTCGATATTATACCAGTTTCTTCTGACGTTCACCCCGCTAGTTTTAGGCGCGGTTTAGAGCTCTGAGTGTACCGTTGATATTTCTATTCTGCCTTCAGTTTCGGGAAGATTTTTCACAGTTATCTATTTCTGGCATACTTTGCTAGTTTCTCTGTTCATTTTGAATGTTTTTAGTCTTAGTTACAAATTCCCTTCTTCCAGCTTTTTATGTTTTTTTTACAAATTCTACAATGCCTCTGCACGTGTTTACAGTTCTTTTTGTCCGTAGCTGTTAATGAGCTTCCCAGCCTCAACCTCCTTTTAAAAATTTTTGCATTCCTATATCATTTACCCGCTTTCTGTTTGACGCGCCGCTCCGGCTAACAAAGGTTAATCCTGGATTTTAGGCACGTTTGCACTTTTTTCTTCAAACAGAAATTCAAGTGCGAAGACTTGTCCATGACCACTTATATTTTTGATATGGGTTTTTATTTATTCATATTTTACCTCTAGTGCGGTTATCGTAATTTTCCCTGATCACCAGTATTTCCTTGCGTTCACCTGGGATCTCGGCACCTGGGTTTTTAGGTATTTTCTACTTTGCGCGCTTCCCTTTGGGTTCTTGTCAGCCTCCCTCAAACCGCTTCAGAAATCTAGAAGAAGCCAAGGTATCCCTATTGCCATTTTTCTTGACTATGGTCTAGCTATAGGAGGAGGAGCCTATCGCGTTCAGGCCTTAATTTACAGTTTGCGGGCTGTCCATGCCGATTTGCTTTAGTCTCGCTTTGTTCGAATTCCTATGAGGAAAAGTCCCTGTGGGAGCCCGTTCGAATTTTCTAGTGGCTTCGCGTTCATCTCAACATAACACTCTGGATGGAAGTATTAGAGCCACGGATGAACGCATTGCTAAATTGTCTCGCGACCTGGCGGCTTTGTCTTCATATTAGTCGTCCACCACAGTCCACGTTCTACGCGTCCCGTGTGTAGCCGCCCATAGTATTTGCGTGGGATCCGTCGCGCGCATTATGGCCCGATTTCTTTTCTCAGTTGTTTACTCAGCTGTTTCCTGGGATAGCTAGGTTTTCCTGTCCGTTGATTCTTTGTATGAAATTGAATTTTGGTCGAATTATGTTAGCCTCTCTAGGGCAAAATTTATCGAGGGATTCCAGTTCGCTTCCAGTGAGAGTAACCTCCGGCTTCTCCGATGCTTCCGATTCAGCCTGCGGCGTTTAAGTGGAGTCTGAACCTGAGTTGATTTTTTATCAGAATTGGTCGGAAAGTGTTCGTAGATCGACTTGATGAGAGCTCTAAGCGGTTTGTCTTGCCTTACTAGCCTTCGCGAGCCCTTCATCTAATTCCAAGGTTTTTTGGTATTCTGACATCCAGAACGTCGAATCCATTCTCCGCGACAGCAGCAGGAAATGCGATCTCTAGAATTTAGCCCTAGTTGCTTTTCAAATTTGCTCCCATCATTGTATTTCGTTCGAGGTCAAGTGGATCCCTAGGGACCTGAACGCTAGTGCGGTCTGTATCTGCAAGCTCGTTGACTTCGATGGTTACGGCCTCAACGATTTTGTTTTGCTAGGGCTAAATCACCTCTTAGGTCCTTATATTATTGACAGGTTCGCCTGTAGTTACAACGGCGAGTTGCCTTAATTGGCTTAACTCTCCATTTTTTCAGCCAGGCTGTTAGGCTGTTTATGCCTTCGCTCAAAATTGGGGATAGGACAACAACTGGCTTGGCCCACCTGTTTGCCTCATTGTCAGAGTCATGTATATCAGACACATTGGGCTCTGCGCGTTCACGGGAGCCCTTATTCCTCACGTATGGAAGTCAGCTATTTTCTGAAATGTTTCCACTAGAGATGGAGTGCATTGGAATAGTTTTGTTGTGGACTGGGTTTTATTGCTTAAGTTCCAGGGATTATTTGTTCCAGGGAAGGTCCGTAATTCCCTTTTCAGAACCAGGCCTTTATTTTTTTGCGTCATAGCGCTTCGAGTTTATTTTCGGCGCCCCACACCTCCCTCGTCCCTGGCGGGCTTCTGCTCTACGCTGCCTGACGGAAAGTGTTGCCTGTGCCTCTACACGCGTGTTATGCGTACCTTTAGGTTTGGACCCATTAGGTTTTTGCATGTAGCCTTTTGACCCCCCACTTCCCTTTTCCGGTGTTTTTTCTTTTTTATTGCGTGATCCTCACATTTTCTTTTGTATTTTCGATTACTTTTCAGATATATTCCGCTCTGGTTTCTAGCGCGGGCCCCAGAATTTCCTACCAGAGGGTTGAACCCTGAGGCTGACAGACAGTCTGCAATGCAATCGACGGTTCTCTCCTCAAAGGCAGTTAGCACGACAGTGGTGTACCTTCGTGCTTCTCGCAAGTAAAAATGCTTTGCTGCCAGTAAACTTCATTCCTGGGCCTGTCCTGCCAGTCCCTGCCATGTTGCCTTGTATTTGCAACACCTCATTGAAGAGTCGCACTCCCCGTGCGTCGTAGACTCGGATGTTTATGGTATTAAATGGGTTCATACCATGGCGGGTATCCCCTCTCCCAGGGATAACTCGATAATTTAAGGGGCTAGGTGTGTTTTCAAAACGATTTTAGGTTTGATGAAGTCTCCATAATTAGGGGGTATTATATTTTCTTTCATGAGGGTTTCATGATCATTAAGGTTCTCAAAAGCAAGAACGACCAACTTTGTAAGGACGATGGCTCGAAGTGATTTTTTCGGAAATGTTTGGCCCTGCTTGTCCTGTCAAGCTTCTAAAGAGGTACCTTGCTCTTTTTTCCATCCCCTTTAGCTCCGGGGATCTCATTTTTGCCCCATGTTTCGCGGGAACAACTCTTTTTAGTTAGTTTCCCAGAACGAGCCTATCAGCTATACCACAATTAATAGAGAGGCTTTTCGCAAGGACCTGAGAATTGTCGGGGTTGACTCTTCCACTTTTGGTTTATATTCCTTGCGTTCGTGAGGGGCCACCTTCGTTGCTTATAATGGGGTTTGTGACAGTGTGTTTCAGTGGCTCGGCCGCTGAAAGTCCGTTCTAGCCAAGGACGCCTACCGATGATGACCTAGAAAAAAGGCTTTCAGTTTCCAAGTTTCTTGGGCTCTAGGAGCTTTCATTTGTCATTTCGCCCAATACTTTGTCACTCTACGTACTTTGTAGGGTTGGTTCTCGCCAAGCCGTCCCAAAATAAACTTATTTGCCATTACGTTTTGTCTGTTGATGTTGTGTAGTGGAGTCAAAATATGTTATTTCTAACGAATGAGCCCGCGAAGAAGGCAGAAATAAATATTTTGACGGCACGAGATACAACAGGGCCTGGGTACTAGGCCGGGTGCACCATGGGTAGCCATATCGGGGGTATATAAGGCTGCGTATATCACGTGTTCGTCATCTAGGCTTACGAACCAACCTCTCCTTGGTTTT